ATGTAGTAACAAAGATGAGCAGGTCAGACCATTTATCAGTCTCATCTTGAAAAACACAATTCCATGTTCAGAACAGTTGACAACTTGATTAAATTCTCGGGATTTTGGCTCATTGCACACACAAGAAACGACAGCGTTTTAGTCATGACAGTCTAATCGCCAACTCTCCACAACAAAGTAGATGAGAATGTCTGGTTCCCACCTGACAGTTTAGCTGTAGGCTGTCTATTCCATCCTTGAATTCTTGTGGTGAAAATCAAGTAAAAATCATTATTGATGGCAGACTGCGACTAAGACAAACCCTCAAAGTTAAAGAGTGTCACCTGCTGCAGGCTCTGTTTAAAAATATGACCCTGAAAACTAGCAGAGTGTTGTAGCCAAATGGCTTAGTTCTATTTCTAGAGAAATTAGTTGACTAAAATATAACATATATAGGCTGAAGGCTGTAAAACTTGTCAGTTATTGACGTGGCATTCTGCCATGACGTCAGACTAGCATCCTATAGAGAATTCCAATGGAAAATAAACAATTACAGTTTAGGAGGTTATTGGGGGGAATCGAGAAAAACCTTCCTGCTTCCACTTACCCTTAACACATAACTAAAATGGTGTTTTGTGTAGCAATTATCAATCCCTTACAGTGTAGTTGTCACTCTTGTATTGTTGAAGTATTGTTTTCTACAATGAAGTATCCCTCCAAGACTGTTAATGGTGGTATTCACTCCTGTACTGTTAATAGTGGTACTCACTCCTGTACTCTTCATAGTGGTACTGTTTCCTACAGTGTGGTACTCACTCCTGTACTGTTAATCGTGGTAGTCACTCCTGTACTGTTAATCGTGGTACTCACTCCTGTACTGTTAATCGTGGTGCTGTTTCCTACAGTGTGGTACTCACTCCTGTACTCTTCATAGTGGTACTGTTTCCTACAGTGTGGTACTCACTCCTGTACTCTTCATAGTGGTACTGTTTCCTACAGTGTGGTACTCACTCCTGTACTGTTAATCGTGGTGCTGTTTCCTACAGTGTGGTACTCACTCCTGTACTCTTCATAGTGGTACTGTTTCCTACAGTGTGGTACTCACTCCTGTACTCTTCATAGTGGTACTGTTTCCTACAGTGTGGTACTCACTCCTGTACTCTTCATAGTGGTACTGTTTCCTACAGTGTGGTACTCACTCCTGTACTGTTAATCGTGGTAGTCACTCCTGTACTGTTAATCGTGGTACTCACTCCTGTACTGTTAATCGTGGTAGTCACTCCTGTACTGTTAATCGTGGTACTCACTCCTGTACTGTTAATCGTGGTACTCACTCCTGTACTGTTAATAGTGGTACTGTTTCCTACAGTGTGGTACTCACTCCTGTACTGTTAATCGTGGTAGTCACTCCTGTACTGTTAATCGTGGTACTCACTCCTGTACTGTTAATCGTGGTGCTGTTTCCTACAGTGTGGTACTCACTCCTGGACTGTTCATAGTGGTACTGTTTCCTACAGTGTGGTACTCACTCCTGTACTGTTAATCGTGGTGCTGTTTCCTACAGTGTGGTACTCACTCCTGGACTGTTCATAGTGGTACTGTTTCCTACAGTGTGGTACTCACTCCTGTACTGTTAATCGTGGTGCTGTTTCCTACAGTGTGGTACTCACTCCTGTACTCTTCATAGTGGTACTGTTTCCTACAGTGTGGTACTCACTCCTGTACTGTTAATCGTGGTAGTCACTCCTGTACTGTTAATCATGGTACTCACTCCTGTACTATTAATAGTGGTACTCACTCCTGTACTGTTAATCGTGGTAGTCACTCCTGTACTGTTAATCGTGGTAGTCACTCCTGTACTGTTAATCGTGGTACTCACTCCTGTACTGTTAATCGTGGTACTGTTTCCTACAGTGTGGTACTCACTCCTGTACTCTTCATAGTGGTACTCACTCCTGTACTATTAATAGTGGTACTCACTCCTGTACTGTTAATAGTGGTACTGTTTCCTACAGTGTGGTACTCACTCCAGTACTGTTAATAGTGGTACGCACTCCTGTACTGTTAATAGTGGTACTCACTCCTGTACTGTTAATAGTGGTACTGTTTCCTACAGTGTGGTACTCACTCCTGTACTGTTGATAGTGGTACTGTTTCCTACAGTGTGGTACTCACTCCTGTACTGTTGATAGTGGTACTGTTTCCCACAGTGTGGTACTCACTCCTGTACTATTAATAGTGGTACTCACTCCTGTACTGTTAATAGTGGTACTGTTTCCTACAGTGTGGTACTCACTCCAGTACTGTTAATAGTGGTACTCACTCCTGTACTGTTAATAGTGGTACTGTTTCCTACAGTGTGGTACTCACTCCTGTACTGTTGATAGTGGTACTGTTTCCTACAGTGTGGTACTCACTCCTGTACTGTTGATAGTGGTACTGTTTCCTACAGTGTGGTACTCACTCCTGTACTATTAATAGTGGTACTCACTCCTGTACTGTTAATAGTGGTACTGTTTCCTACAGTGTGGTACTCACTCCAGTACTGTTAATAGTGGTACTCACTCCTGTACTGTTAATAGTGGTACTGTTTCCTACAGTGTGGTACTCACTCCAGTACTGTTAATAGTGGTACGCACTCCTGTACTGTTAATAGTGGTACTCACTCCTGTACTATTAATAGTGGTACTCACTCCTGTACTGTTAATAGTGGTACTGTTTCCTACAGTGTGGTACTCACTCCTGTACTGTTGATAGTGGTACTGTTTCCTACAGTGTGGTACTCACTCCTGTACTATTAATAGTGGTACTCACTCCTGTACTGTTAATAGTGGTACTGTTTCCTACAGTGTGGTACTCACTCCTGTACTATTAATAGTGGTACTCACTCCTGTACTGTTAATAGTGGTACTGTTTCCTACAGTGTGGTACTCACTCCAGTACTGTTAATAGTGGTACACACTCCTGTACTGTTAATAGTGGTACTCACTCCTGTACTATTAATAGTGGTATTCACTCCTGTACTGTTAATAGTGGTACTGTTTCCTACAGTGTGGTACTCACTCCTGTACTCTTCATAGTGGTACTGTTTCCTACAGTGTGGTACTCACTCCTGTACTGTTAATAGTGGTACTATTTTCGACAGAGTGGTACTCACTCCTGTACTGTTAATCGTGGTAATCACTCCTGTACTGTTAATTGTGGTACTCGCTCCTGTACTGTTAATAGTGGTACTCACTCCAGTACTGTTAATAGTGGTACTCACTCCTGTACTGTTAATAGTGGTACTGTTTCCTACAGTGTGGTACTCACTCCTGTACTATTAATAGTGGTACTCACTCCTGTACTGTTAATAGTGGTACTGTTTCCTACAGTGTGGTACTCACTCCAGTACTGTTAATAGTGGTACGCACTCCTGTACTGTTAATAGTGGTACTCACTCCTGTACTATTAATAGTGGTACTCACTCCTGTACTGTTAATAGTGGTACTGTTTCCTACAGTGTGGTACTCACTCCAGTACTGTTAATAGTGGTACGCACTCCTGTACTGTTAATAGTGGTACTCACTCCTGTATTATTAATAGTGGTACTCACTCCTGTACTGTTGATAGTGGTACTGTTTCCTACAGTGTGGTACTCACTCCTGTACTGTTGATAGTGGTACTGTTTCCTACAGCGTGGTACTCACTCCTGTACTGTTAATAGTGGTACTCACTCCTGTACTGTTAATAGTGGTACTGTTTTCGACAGAGTGGTACTCACTCCTGTACTGTTAATCGTGGTAATCACTCCTGTACTGTTAATTGTGGTACTCGCTCCTGTACTGTTAATAGTGGTACTCACTCCAGTACTGTTAATAGTGGTACTCACTCCTGTACTGTTAATAGTGGTACTTACTCCTGTACAGTTAATAGTAGTACTGTTTCCTACAGTGTGGTACTCACTCCTGTACTGTTAATATTGGTACTGTTTCCAACAATGTGGTACTCACTCCAGTACTTTTTACAGTGGTAAAGTCCTCAAAAGTGTGATGCTCACTCCAATATTGTTTATTTAAACAATATTTTATTTTCAATCAATGTCACATTACAAAATTAAACACATATAATAAAAAGGACTGGAAATCCGCATAACAGCTTTATAATTTCTTCAACTCAAAATAAATTATTTACTGTTTAAAGTGTATGGCTTTGTTCTTTTTAACTTATCATTAGGCTGGATCTTTTGTTTCCATTTCATATAAAATTGAGGAAATGAATCTTAGGTTTTTGATTTCACAGAGACTCAGGTAAGGTCAAATGAAAAAGCTCCATAAATCTTAAAACAAATGGAAAAGAATAACAAGCTTCTGTTTATCATATACCTAATATACTTTAGTGAGTATTCGTGAAAACATATTTTATCCGACTGACAAGATTAGACAAATTAAATAGCTATTGAACCTTCAGCCAATTACAGCACTGCTTGGTGTTATTACACTTGAAGTCATAACACAATTTATAGATGTCTTGATAACAGGGCAGTTATGCGATGATATGATGTATGGAATGGCAGAATGTTCTAAACAGAGATCACACCAAACAATAGGCACTGGAGTGAAAATAAGAACACAGATTTAGGTAAAAACCAAACCAAATAAAAAATATGTAAAAGTCCAGTAACAGTCTACCACCAAATTAAAAGAATACCAGATTTCCATCAAATCAGAGAAGAACTCTGTTAACATTGAGTGAGGACTAAGTATAGAAAATTAATATTTCAACTATCGATCAGCTTTTAAAAAAAGTTATTCATCAAAGAAAAAAAAATGAAAACGGTTTTTAATGGTAAAGATATTCTGGACAAAATAAATTTGTGAAGATTTGATCAGCTGTGAATCAACATAGAAATAATCAATAGGTCAAAATATAGACAGAAACAAAACAAGGAAATTACCAGGCTGAAATAAAAATTCTACAAAATCAGTAAAAACAAACAAGTGAATAGAGTGTCCACGATTACCAAACGCATGCTTTGTTACCTCTTTTTGTTCTTATGTTTATGTGAACTTCTCTGCTTTTTATACTGAGAACTGAAACAAGGAAGCAGAATTGAATATCAGTTACATAATAACGCAATCAAGTCGGTAAAAAATGTTAATAAATATCTGCAGTCTCCAAATGTACTGTAAAACATAGAACATGGTGTCAACCTTTATCACGTAGAGTATTTCCCTTTTTTCTGATTGGCCAATCCCTTGATGCAGCTTAAACGTAAATCTAACTCCGCACTCAGGGTTGATATTTGACGATATAGCTAAATTTTCCCACATTTTATGACATAAATTTTTTTCTTTGTACCCTCTTTATCCAATGACATTTCAGGATCGTTTTGTAATGTGAAAATATTGAGGAAATGTTGTAACGATATCTATAACCGTTGTCAACCTGTGTTCTGTTATAAAACAAGGATTTATTGATCAATAAGTAATATATATATATATCACTTTACCAGGTTAACAAATCATTACGTTCACCTGAATACAGGTTGATAATTGTAAATTTATATATATATTTACTGGTCTTTGACTATTCCTGTAGGATATTAGTGATAGACACAATACTCCTGGGACACTGAAAGTAAGGATGTGATTCCATTACTATGTTACACTATAGGTACCAGTAACTAACAGATCATTAAAACAACATATAACACAATACACTTCAGCATCACAATAACTTCAACAGTTGATAAAGCCCTGATATTTTTCTGATGAGCAACAGTGACTAAAAAAAGTTCAAAACACACAGATTTGATGATTAGTTTTTGTTGCTCTATAAAAAACAAAATGGGAATTATCCTGACATAGTCTATAATGAAAAAGATTTGTAAGGCATTTAATTTCATCAGAATAGAGGTTTGTCATTTCTTGGACAGTGAACAACCATTCATGTAGTGAGATATAATGAAATGCCACAGTCTTTAAGAGAGTCCCCAATCTAGTTGGTACATGTAGTTTGATGTTCCATAAAGGCCCCCTGATCTAGTTGGTAGTTTATTTTCTCTGAAGACTGAAGAACTTCTGAAATAATTTGCATTTTGATATCCCTGAAGGACTTCCTGACATATTTTGCAGTTTCTTTGTCCCTAAATAGTTTGCAGTTTGATGTCCCTGAAGGAATTTCTGAAATAATTAGCAGTTTGATGTCCCTAAATGACTTTCTGATATAATTAGCAATTTGATGTCCTTGAAGGACTTTCTGATATAATTAGCAGTTTAATGTCCTGAAGGACTTTCTGATATAATTAGCAGTTTGATGTCCCTGAAGGACTTTCTGATATAATTAGCAGTTTAATGTCCTGAAGGACTTTCTGATATAATTAGCAGTTTGATGTCCTTGAAGGACTTTCTGATATAATTAGCAGTTTGATGTCTCTTAAGGACTTTCTGATATAATAAGCAGTTTGATGTCACTTAAGGACTCTCTGATATAATTAGCAGTTTGATGTCCCTAAAGGACTTTCTGATATAATTAGCAGTTTGATGTCCCTAAAGGACTTTCTGCTATAGTTAGCAGTTTGATGTCCCTTAAGGACTCTCTGATATAATTAGCAGTTTGATGTCCCTTAAGGACTTTCTGATATAATTAGCAGTTTGCTGTCCTTGAAGGACTTTCTGATAGAATTAGCAGTTTGATGTCCCTTAAGGACATTCTGATATAATTAGCAGTTTGCTGTCCTTGAAGGACTTTCTGATAGAATTAGCAGTTTGATGTCTCATAAGGACTTTCTGATATAATTAGCAGTTTGCTGTCCTTGAAGGACTTTCTGATAGAATTAGCAGTTTGATGTCTCATAAGGACTTTCTGATATAATTAGCAGTTTGATGTCTCTTAAGGACTTTCTGATATAATTAGCAGTTTGATGTCCCTAAAGGACTTTCTGATATAGTTAGCAGTTTGATGTCCCTTAAGGACATTATGATATAATTAGCAGTTTGATGTCCCTTAAGGATTCTCTGATATAATAAGCAGTTTGATGTCCCTTAAGGACCCCTAATATTGTTTGCAGTCTGATGCTCCTGAAGGGCCCCCGATATAATTTGTTGTGTCTTATATGTCTGTAGGTATCTATAGGGACATTTCCAAAGGACACCTGTCATGATGTTAACCAGTTTGATGTTCCCGGGGAACACTGGAATTAGTGAGAAATTAGACATTTACACACATTATCTCCATCTTCCGCAAGTTCACTGAAATAGATAAGTAACACACAAAACACGAAGTCTACATGGCAAGATGAGGTAAAACTTGTGGATTCATTTCGTGTGAAGATTTAGTCAATTCCTTTCTTAGGAATAAAATTTTGAATTACCAATGATGCAATGCTTGCTTTCTGTAAAAAATAATGATACCTGATTGAACTGGAATTAATTCCAGATAACTTATCACTGTAAACTGAAGTGTTTGTAAAAAGAATAATCGTCATACTTAAGTAGAAATGAATCTCTTCCACAAATTAAACATGCTGAACTACTTTGAACAGCTATTTTATTATTAAGGTTATATAGTTATATGGCTTAAGTAAAATACACTGAAAATGAAAGTACATAGTAAGTGTCATGTACACTGAAAATGAAAGTAGAAATATGACGGGGAAGAGAACATGTGTCAGTAAGTACTGGCTTACCTGTGGGCAATCCTAGACATCAGGCCAAATGTTAGTGTGAGGGATAGAAAATCTCATGCAGTTATTTACATGTATCAGACAAATATTAAAAAAAAAAAAAAAAAAAATAGATATATATATATATCTACCACAATCTTTAATGTTGTAAACACATACATAAAACAATTCAAAACATGGTTAAATTCAACAAAGAAAGTTAAAGAATTTCAATTCCTTTTCTTAGTCAATAAATAAAACACAAAAAGCCTTTAACAAACTTGAGTATTAGTGTTAGTAAGGAGATTGGCCGATGTTACAGAATATACATGTAGCTGCTATTTATCCTTTGACAAGTCTTGTTATCAGCACAGACCTGACAGTGAAACCGACAGCCATCTAATTAGACAGAGTTCAATTCAATAAAAGTCAACAACAGTGGATATCATGCTAATTCCAGCCCTCATCTTTACCACTTCTGAATTCATTGCCACAAAAATGAGTTGTAGGAATCTCCTTTAACAGCTACTAATCAACTGATCCCGCATATTCATTAAGTAACACTTTGGCCACAGCTACTACTACATTGTCCTCTCCCCCGCACTACAATAAAACAGTGTATCACAAATGCTATCAAGCCTGGTTCGCCCAAGAGGCACACTAAAGAAAATGTCGTATGTATTTTTTGGCTGGGGACTCAGAGATGACATTAGATTTAAGTACATACACAGGCATACTGAGGAAATTCACCACAATTTACGCAATGTAGCTCCTTCTGTGTTGTGACATTTAAAAAGTACTCGCCAGTGAAGTAAATCTTAGTGTTGCTGTTCAGTAGCTTACAATTAGTGCTTCATGAATATTCACAACACTATACACATTAATATTTTGTCTAAAATGTCATGTGCTGTTTGATACTTTTGTTGTTTATATAACCATGACAACAGCAAAGTCTCTACCTGACATATTATCTTATTTCAGTACTTACCGTTTTTATTGAATCCGTTTTATCCTGTATTAGACAAATTCTTTCATTTCTGTTTTTTTTTTTTTTTTATGTTGAACTGTCTTTCAGCTTTTTGCTACCATGTAAGAGGCAGTCTTATTTTTTAAAATTTTAATTAACTTGATTGTTCTCATCTAAAGTTGTGGTGACTGAGTGGTACAGTTGTAAGCACAGTCAGCTTTCGCTTCGGTATGCATGGTTTGATTCCCTCGAACAGACATGATAAGGTATGGAGACATCCGCTCACACAACCATGTGGGCTTTCATTTCCTCAGGTACTCCAGTTTCCGACCGCTCAAGTTTAAATGAAGAAAGAAGCAGCACCCTTCTTTATCATAAATGAACTTGACTAGTAGAAAGATTTTCAATGTGTAGGTCAGTCTTTTTTTTTGTGTCTTATCTTGACTTAATATGACAAATCTTACACATTTCACTTTCCATAGATACACAAGTGTTGAATTAAACCTTGAGAAATGTGTCCTTCAACATTAATCCTATTTGTAATGACCTGTGTTTTAAGGACACAATTTTTAGATATACATTATCTTTAAAGGGATATTCCTGGACAAGTTTAAATTTTGTTAAACACTGTTTTATTAAATAATATATTTACCAACATTCTGATACAAGTTGTATGCCTCAATCCATTGCAAAAACCAACCTAAAAGATTTATTTTGAGGAAATTACAAATGACAAAAGTTGCAGCATCACAACATGTTTTCACCTGTACAATGCACTGCAAAACAAATATGGCAACATATTACATACTGTCCTTATATTTCTATCATTGTTCCATACATATCAGCCTCTATTTGTTGTTCATATGCATTGTTTGTTCTAGAGAAATCAACGGGAGAAAATGGGTCTTTTTCCAGTTTACATACAGTGTTGCTGCTGCTTGGATTGGACATTAAGCTTTAGATTCACTTTCAACATAATCACACGATGAAAGTGCTGATATTAAGGCAGTCTGGTTTTGAATTGTCAAGGATATCTCCATCAACTTTGTTTGTCTAGACTACAATAAAACTTTTGATGCTCATAACACTTTGAAAAGTCATTTAAAAAGGTCCATAAACGGTACAGAACAGCTAGAAATAAATTTGTCACTTGTCTGAAATATCCTTTTAAGGACAAACTTTTCTACTGTGACAAAAAGCATTGTTCTTTGAAGTGTTTCAAATGAAATCAACATACAACTCAATGGGGGGATAACTCTTTGATATATATTGGATTAGATTTATCTCTGGTGCAGGATGGTGATCTATGCATGACTACAGACATACATTTATGTAACATGGGTGAACAGATCTTGGTTTTCCAGTATAACCTTACTCTATTTTTAAACCTGTTCTAATCTTTTGCTAATACATATACCATGTCATTAAGGAGAGTTAAATCCATGTGTCCAGTGTCTTTG